CTCCCCTCGCGTGTACATCGTCCCTAGCACCTAGCACATAGGTCGTAACTCGCGTTAACCTCGCGCTTGTCTAAAAGGCGTAAAGAAAAAAGGAAAAAAAAGGGAAAACCCAATTAATCACAGTTTACTCTGAACATTCCGATAGGTTTTCCTAGCAATAGCTATCACTCGATTAATCTCGTGTAGCCCCTGAGGATTTATTTTCCTTGGGGGGGGGGGGTAACCTAATGAGCTCCCTTACTTTCATCCCTTTGAAAGTAATACATAAGCCGTCTACGCGACCAAAGGATGATTGGGAAGCCACTTTCTGACTGGATCATTTATATGACGAAAAATACAAACACACCTAAATCCAAATGGCCTTGTTTCGCTCCCGTCATCAAGAACAAGTTTTGCTCTAAATCCTCCCTGTTGGTTTAAATGGAGGTGAAACTGGTCTTCCGCGCTCAGGACGTATTGTGAGCTGCCGAGAACCGGTTTTATCCATATCGCCAGAGAAAAGCTTGAACCTCCAAGATTTACGGCAGGCACAGTTGGTTTGAAGCTTCCATTCATAAAAAGAAAGGTTCCGCTAGCATCGCTGAAGTAACTTGCATTACTACAAGGAAATGTTATGAAGCAAAGTTAATTTCATTTATAAAATTTTCTCATATCAATTGCAATGTTTTCTTAACCTTGAGAACTCAATAACCTTTACGGAGGTTTCCCTACATTTCGATATATTGTTTTAGAAATATTTTCGCGATTATTTCAGTTTTGAGATATTTGAGGAATTTCCTAGTGAAAACAAAAGATCGAGATAAGCACCAATATTTCGTACGAAGTGCACGTAAACAGAAAAAATACAGGTTCAGCTTTTACATTAAAGACGTTCCACTCCGTAAGTAACGCATGCGCAGTTCTTTTAGTACCCGTTGAGAGACTCGCAAAGGTTCCCCACCTCCCCCTTTCATACTTCAAAAAACTGTCCAAATAGGGAAATAAGATAGAGAGGGAATGTTTCCGTCAACCAAACCCAGTCAGTGTCTTGCTACGGAAATGCTCACATCCAAGAAAATTTGAAAAGGTATTTTTTCCTTTGGCAGTTTGGCTTACCTTCCTCGTTACAGCAAGTGTCAGAAATTTTAAGCAAATTGAAAAATTACATTAATATGAAAAAAAAAAAGCTCTAGAAAGAAAGACATGATCCGAATAAGTGTGTAGTAAAAAGAAATTCAAGTCAGCGCGACCTATACATTGGGAAAATATAAATACGTAATTCCTTACAGCTTAAGTTGTTAAACTGGTGATGCTTGAGGACTAACCTGACATTTTCGTCACGACCGTCAAAAAACCAGTGAGCAACTTTCTTTAAAGGAATTCCTACAGAAGGAAACGAATGAAAATAAAGAAGTTAGTTTCACTTTTACATGTGAAATTCCTGGTCACGGGACATCAGTGTTAGACAAATTTACAGGAAGGAGGAGCGTAGCGACTCATTACACCGGGAGAAACGACTTGCCACGACGACTAAGCTACCGCCTTCTACACCTGGATCTGAGGCGAAAAATTATATAAATATTACCATAGATAGTAGAAGCGACTCGCTATTTAAATTTCATTTAAATAAACTGCTGTGAAGTCTCTATTTATCACAAAGTTCAAAGTAACAGGAAGGGTACTGAACATCGCGCATTGTCAGATCCAAAAAAAATAACGACAATTACAACAGATAACCAAGAAGTTTTCTTATCACGAGCATGAAACGTAGATAAGATTCTGGGTCCCCATGAGGAATCGAACCTCAAAGCTCTCATACTGTACCACTGAGCCACAAAGACTCTACAGTGAGCACAGCTACTCTAACGTTCATTTGCGACAAACATCCTGCATACCGTAAGGATCAATAATGTCCAAAGCGTGTACCCAAAACATTTACCATCTTTATTATTCTGACCGAGAAATTTCTCGGATTTCCCAGCCATTGGCTTCTCTTTATCTTGGCAAGACGGATTGCCGTGATAATCGAATGCAATTTTTCAGTTTACCTTCAACAGTGGGAGGACAGA